ATTGTTTCTTCTTGTATTGTTATTATTTTGTTCTTTATTTACTTATATATTACAATAGCTATTTAATTAATCTTTCTTTTTTAAGGAACATTAATTAACTCTATTAAAATTTAATATTCTTCAATAAAAAGTTGTTCAATAAAAGAAATACATTTAACTTTTTTTAACCTTTCTTAACATATTTTGACTTATTATTTTTTACTCTTGCCATGCTACTAATCCTAGAGATGGAATAATATTGCTATATTTTAATAATATTTCTTCAAACCTAATAACAATTATTAAATGATGAAATAACGTTTTGTTATACTTCAAAAAAAAAGAAAATAAAAAGACTCAACTTGGTATTTTCTTAATTAAACAATTACATGACATCTTTCCATAAGAAAGAGTAGTTTCCTTAATTTTTTCCTAATTGAAGTTCCAACCCATAAGTTGGTTGAATTCTTATTTGTTCTTGAGGAGATAAATCTATCTTTTTAAATTTAGGTGGGTTGATGTTTATTGGAGAGAAATAAAATAATGGAAGATTTGCAGTCATTCTTTCTGTGATTTGAAGTAATTTACTAACATTAGAACTAAAGAGTGAGATATATTCACCGAAGTCTCCTTGTTTTCTCATGACTGTTGCTGTTATTACTTCTAAATACTGTTCATTTTCATTAATCAGTCTGTCACAAACTTGGTCTTCTTGTGTATATCTTCTATCACGTGTTTGATACATTACTGGAGCTGTCCTTCCTATTGAAGATTGTAAATAAGAATTTTGTGGAAAGACATTTGGACGAGCATAAGAAGGATTAGGTGGTTGAGGTATAATGGTAGGTTGAGGAGCAGTAACACAAGGTTGCGGAGCAATTGGAATTTGTGGATGTTGAACCGTGATTGGTTGAGCCATACTACTCACCAAAGGAGGAGGTGCATTAGAAGATATTGACATTGAATTACCATCTCTAGCATTTATAGTAGAAGAGTTAACAGAAGAAACTTGATTTGAATTACTTGACATAGATAAATCATCATCATCTTTTTTCATTCTAATTGGAGTACGTCTAGAACGTTTAGGTGGATCATCACGATCTGTAGAAGTAGCACGAGGAGATTTAATGGAATGAGAAGGAGATACTTCAACCCTTTGTTGACCGAAAGAAGAATGAAGAAAACTTTCCCAACTAATATCTTGTTTTTCTTTTGCTTTCATATATTTTACACGTAATGAAACATCTCTTAATCGTTTATTAGGTAAATTTGTCATTAATAATGTCAGTCGTTTAAATTCAGCATTTTGTGAAGCAGGATATCGTTTCATATTATCTTCTAATATTATTTGTTCTTCAGGTGACCATGAAGGAATTGATTTGATATATTCTGCAATATTTGGTGTAGGTGAATCGTCTTGAGATGGTGATGAAGAAGGTTTAGGAATGAGGTTATGTGGGTTTGACATCTAATAACAACAGTTAAGAATAATTTGATTCATTTTTAGATTTTCTCATTTGGAAAAATACTTTCATTTTTCTTTTTTGAATCATCTTTTTTTCTATTTTTTCTCTTCATCTCCTTTTTCATTTTCAAGTTTGGACCATTTCTTCTTCCTTTAAATTCTTTTAAATTTTCGGGATTGAGACTATAATATTTTTAGTAATGATGGAGTTAGTAAATTAGTTTGAAAAATAGTTTTGTAATAGTTAAGTTCTATATTTGCTTTTCTCTTTTTGTATCAACTATTTTTATAGTTTTTTCTCTTAATCAAATTACTATTTTTTTTTGATTCTAAAGTTTAAAAATAAAACAGAAACTAAAAAATTATTTTTGTTCGATTGGTAAAAATTTATTCATAAATATTAGTATTAATGGTAAAGATACGATTGAATTGATCAAACAAAATGTAATAGATCTTAAAAATATGAAGATGAATAACACAAAGAAATCTTTTGATATTTGAAAAATGATTTTTTGGTATAAAAAATTGAACTATATTTCTGATTTCTGAGATTATTATGAATGAAATTCAGTGTAATTTTTGTAATAAAATCTTAAATGATCCTGTTACCTTTTCTTGTGGTCATTCGTTTTGTTTAGTTTGTGTACGTCAAATATTTAGAAAAGATAATATTTGTCCAACTTGTCAAAAACCTTTTGGAAGACCTTTTAAAGTAAATGAAAAAATGAAAATACGAATTGAAAGGTTTATTGAACAACAATCTATATCTTCTAAGACGAATGAATCTGATGAATGTATAATCAATGTCCAACCTAATTCATCATTATTATCATTACCTGATTATACAATATTAGAAATTATGAAGGTTGATATTAAATGTGGTTGTTTACTTGCACAAACATGTAAAAAATTAAATGAGTTGTTTAATAGAGATTCCCTTTGGATGGATAAAGTTTTATCTATTAATCCTCATTTTAAACACCAAATTGGAGCTTCTTGGAAAATAGAATGTTTTTGGTTATCTTCAAGAAGAAATTGTTACATTAAAGGTGGGATTAATAATTATAATGTTCAAACAATTTTCTATTCAGCAAATCAAATTCATCAAGTTCAAGTAATAGACCCTTCTGATAATTTAACTGTTTATGACAATCAATATTTATATGAAATTAATTTAAATAACGAAATTAATAAAATAAAACTAAGTGGTTTTAAGTCAATCTCTAAGATCCAAAGAAGAGCAAATAAATTGCTTATTCTTGATAATGACACTTTCTACAAATATGATCTTCTTACTCAATCAATACTTTGTAGTTATATTCCACATAATAAGATCATTACTACTTTAATGAATGAACGAGACTTCCTCATTACTCAACATTCTATTCTACAAATGGATGATGATGGAACATTTACAGAAGCAGTATTTCCAAATATGGATATTGTTGATGCAATGTTTTATAATAAGAATATTGTATTGATTGGAAAAGAAATGGAAAAGAATTGTGTTCATGTTATTAACACATCAGGTAAATGCATTAAAGTAATTGAATTTGATGACCCAATAACTTTAGTAGATGGTTGGAGAATGGTAGACAATAATAATCAGTTAATTTATATTAATAAGTCTGTTGTATATTGTGGAAATAAAATGTGGGTTCCTGGAGAAGATAATATCAAAGATAATGAAAATTATTCAACCATCAAAATAAAAAAAATAGGCTATGATATTGTGATTTGCATTCATTCAAATTTTATTCAAATCAATGACCAAACATTTGAAATTGACATTGAAACAAATGATTGGTATGTAGATGAATTAAACGAAAGAATTATTCTTGTTGACTTTAATCAAAGAAAAGCAGTTGTTGTTAGTTTTAATGATGGAGTTTTATTTTCAATAATTCTTGGTAGTGACTCTGAAATTGTTAGAGGTATTATAGTTAACTTATTTGAATATAAATTATATGTGATTCTAGACAAGTCTGTTAGACTACTTCAATTTGGGAATTAATTGACATTCATTTTTGTTGTGTTTACTCACTTAGTCATATCCTTAGAAGCTATTGTTCAAAATAGAATCTGACACTGATGTGAAATATTTATCTTGAAACCATTAATTTAAAACAAAACAATTATTCTCTTTTCTTTAATTCCATCGCTCCATCAAATCCTTATTAACCTTGAGTAGACATTGTAAAAAAAAACAATGGAATGATTATCATACTTCATTACAATATAATATTCTTTTTTTTTGTTATTTCTTGGTTGTTTTGTTTTTAATCTGTTAAGTAACATGTCTAACAATGAAATAGTACAAAGCTATTTTAAAATGTATTGAGTTTAAAACGTGGTTAGTCTTTAACACTTAAAATATTACAAAGTCTAATTAGAGAAAGTTTGTTAGATTTTTTCATTACATTCTTTGGTTTTATCTTCGCTAATTTCTTTCATTCTATTTTAATTATAAGTTTTTCAATTTCATCCATTGAACCTTATTTTTTTTAATCATAATGGTAAAACTATTATGAAAGTATTTATTCTTCTCTATATGAGACTCTTTTCTAGCATAAAATACTTTTAATTAAACCCACAATAGAAGAAATGTGTTTCAAATAGAACAGATAATAGCTTGAGTTTTGTATATTCTTATTAATGTTTTATCAATAAAACTTGACTTACTTTCTTTATATTAATTATACTCTATTGTTCTTTACATAAAACAACGGTTATATAATAATTTGTTGTAAATATTCAATAATCTACAGTTTGTTAATTGTAAAATACCGTTATGCATAATTTTCAAAAACAAACTTGATTGTTATACAAACTTAACAAACAAATTAGACAAAACGAGACTATTCTATGTCATTATGTAAAAACATGAAAGAAAAAGATGCGTTCATTGTATTTTAATTGGATTATATCTTCAAAAATCATTTGTGTTGATTTGTTTATAGATATTATTTCAAAACATTTTGTATTATTATAATTCATTAAAATAACGTTTGTATGTTATTTATTCTAAATAAGTAGAACCAACCCATTTTCTTCTATTTAGATGAAGAATAAATTTATATAAAAGAATTGAGCTTTGACTTCTTAGAATCAAAATTAATCATACACTTTATTTTTTTTTACTTAATTAGTGTTATAACAATAAAATATTAAGTTGTATTGATTATACATTTCATTATATTCATCCAATTTTGTTTGAATATGATTAATGAGTTATTATTGGTTATTTTGAACTGTTTTTATATTATTTAACTGTTGAATGGTAATAAGAATTAATATCAAATGATTTTCTTTTATAACTATTTAATTTAAAAATAAGAACAAATCACTTCTTTTACATATTCATTAAAAAGTAGTGCTAATTCAATTAACCAGAACGTTGAGAATATCATTAGAAAAATGAATATTCCATTTTTATTCTGTAAGAAATATAATTTTATTATTAAATGTTGATTTTTCATGTTGAGAGACAGTAGGCAAAACAACTGAATATATACAGAAATAATAGTAATATCAATTTGGTATTACTCTTTATGATGTTTTATTTAAATAAATTACTGAAAGAAACTAATATTATTAAATATCCATTTAAATTATATTATCAAATTATGTTGTGTAAGGTTTTTAACTCCTTACAATAACTTTCAATCGACAACTAATGTTTCCATTGCTCTTCAATGCCATGAGGTAAAATGATACTAATATTTGATGTTGTTGAATTTCCATACTGGTCAAATGATTCAAAACATCCGTTTATTGATTCAGGTTGTGTTTTTTGATTTTGTTGGATATTTTTTTCTTTTGACCCAAATGTTTTTATTATATTTAGTAAATTGTATGGTAATGTTGTTGGAGATATTACAAACAAATTACTTTTTAGAGACAAAAAATACTCAAGGACTTGTTTTAACCACTCTCCATACTTTGCTTTGATTTCTGATATGCTATAAAATATTCCATTATCATCAATTGTACTAATAAACTCATTGGGACGTTTATATGTATTAGTTGTTGGGACTTTTGACACCTTAGTATTTATCAAGATTCCATCTTTGAAACCTCTTGCTTTACACCATTGTGTAAGACAATTCATAAATTGGTCATGAATGTCTTTTTTAAGATATCGTTGAACATTTGTATTTTTTGAGAAATTTTCAGTTATAGTTGTAATCTGTTTACTAAATATTTTTTCTGTCCAAATATTTCCTTCAACTTCAACAGAAAATATGTTAATTTCATTTCTTTTATCAATAACTTTTTTTCTTTTTGGTGGAATAATAGTCACACATCCTCCTTTGTAAACTACATAACTGATGATAAATCCCCATGCACTAAATATTTTTTCTTGATGTTCATATTTCTTTTGTAAAATGTTTGAGCGTTCTATTTTGTCTTGCATTAATCTTTTGTTCCAGTTTTATTTTTTTTAGTGCTTTTATAAAAGAATAATGAATTATTGTAACTATCATTGAAAGAAAATTGAGTGACGCTTGTATGTTATATTATTTTTTTGTGAAATAATTATTAAAATAATAATAATAATAAATAGAAATCAAATTAAATTCTATTTAATTTGGTTTATATGGTAAGAAATGTATTTAATTATGAAACAATAAACGTTATTCATCCTTCTACTAAAATCAAATATTGAAATATTTATTAAATAAATTCTTTTTCAAATAACTCAAGACTGAAACTTATTTCTATTGGTACTAAACATAGGTATATTAATGTAAAGATGCTTTATAACAGGAACAATGACAAAAAAGTCATCTTCATATTTGTCAATGCTTGAAATATTCCCAAAGATAGTCTGTATAACAATAAGTCATAAATATTATGAGAGACACTATGAAATTCAAATTATATAGTTGTAGTGTTTATAGAAATTAGACTGAAAGGATAAAGTGTTATTATATGAATTATAAGAAGGTATTTCTATCATAAAACAATATTAACTAAAGTTTAAGTAAAGTTTTGGAGAAGTATATTAATTAGGAATATCCATCTTAACATTAACTTAGTCTCAACTCATGTTATACAATAAAAACTTGTCAGTACCTTTAACCACCACCTCACACTTAGAAAATTAGAAAGTATTACAATACTATGCTAAAACACCCATGTCTTTATTGAGAAAACCATGCCAAATACAATTAAAATAAAATAACCCACCAAAACTAAATGAAATTCTTCAATCATCATTTAAATGTAAGTCCTTTACCATCAACAAACCATTTTAGTAATAATGGATTTAATAAAATGATAGAACAAAGGCTTTTCTATAAAATACTCTCATTACCACTCAAAATAAATAGATATATGAACTACAAGTTAAACAAAAGAATATTCATGAAACACTAAAAAAGTGTCATGGTGTATTATAATAATTAAATATTCTATTGAACACACAATTATTAGTTAATAAATTAGACACAGATACACCACATTGGTTACATGATGAGAAAAGAAGGTGTTTTTATTATTTTAAAGGTATTAACCAAGAAATTGAGAAACAACATTTGTTCATAAAAAGAATAGTTTAAGGGTGAATAGAAATAAACTATTAAATATAATTACCCAAATATAAAAGAGATTTAATTTCAAAAAATAAAGTTTTCAAAGACGAAAAAGAAAAGGAAACTTCCACAATAATCTACAAATTACTCATTTTTGACTCGAGAAATGAGTAATTATGCACAGTATGAATACCTTGATATTTCAGTCAGTGATCCTCAACTAAGAAGAGATGATAAAGGAGAGTATACTGTTTATAAAGTACATTTTGATGTTTGTTTTATTTTTCATAATAAACAATTGTTGAATCATTAAGTTGAGGGTTTTTGTTTTGGTGAAGAATGGTAGTTGAAGTATTAATTGAAATAGACAACATTTGAAGAATACAAAATAAAAACAAAGGATGTGTATCGTCGTTATTCACAATTTGTTGAGTTGAAAAGACAGTTGGAGATTCGATTTGAAGAAAAGAAAGACAAAATGGCTAAATTCGGTACAATCCCACCTCTTCCTGGAGATACAATCTTTTCACTTTTTGGTCGTGGAAGATTTGATCCAGCTTTTGTTGATGATAGATGCAAAAAGTTAGATGCATGGATCAAAGCAATCTGTGCACATAACATGCTCCGTTTTGAAAAGGTATTTATTTCTTTTCTTGAACAAGACAATTGGGAAGTTACTAGTTGGTAATATACTTCAACAATAATAATTATTTGGTTTTTAACACCCACACTTTTTTTTTTCATAAACGTTTCCACATAACCAAAAAGTCAAAGTTTAAGAGTGACTTTTTAAAGACAAAAGAAGTACATTATTTTAGTTCAATTAAAAAGACAATATTAACCTAAGTAATTAAGAAAATGGCATTTCTTCTTTTATAATGATGGTTGTTTGTGTTAAGATACAGTGTGAAAGAGAAACTTTTACAAAGTGATTTATTTCAGATGAAATGACTCATTATAAAATCTATATTGACAATGATACTTGTTATCAATGTGGCGACTGACATTTCCCTATTTATGACGACACTCAAAGTGTAATTCTAGGCAAACGAACAATAGTAAATTCCTTGAAATATATTTGGATTGGTGAAAAATATGTTTGATGTGAAGATGGGTTTATGTTAAATATTCTTGGGAGTGTGATAAAGACATGAACTGTTCAAAAATGACTGACAATTCTTGTAGAGAATAGATAAAAAGAATGTAACATACCCCCATATCTATGTCAACCAATGGAGTAAAAGATTACTGGATGTTTATTGTTTGGTGATTATAGAGAGTATAGGTTGTTTGAAACATTGAATACTTATTATAATTTGGTTAATGTCTCACAATGTAATTCAACATCTATTTTATTATCTGATTTACATTGTTCAATAATAGAATATTATTCTAAAATTAAAAATAGCAGATATGAAAAAAAGTAAATTCATAATATTAATTTGAAATATTCATGTATTAAAGTGTCACATTGTATTAAAAGTATTTTTAATGGATGTAAAAGATGTGATAGTGAATATATTTTAATTAATAGCAGAACTAGTTATGTTCCACAAAAAAATTATCATTTGGATATTATACAAAAATGTGTTTGTTCAGTTCAGAGATGTATATTATTTTGGTCAAAACAAAAATGTTAATTTAGACTCATTCTTCAATCTCTCTGTTCTTGTACTACCCATAACATAACAAACTTAATGTCTATTTCTAAAATAAACAAAAAGTCACTATTTGATCATCTCTCCTTCCAGTTTTGCACATAATTCTGTGTTATTTGATTAGTCATTTGTAAAATTAAAACAACGTATGTCATCAACTAAACTTTCTACTACTTATTATGGTAGGTTTAGAGATACAGAATGTCAAAGTGATAGTCAAAACAAACAACTCAATTCTATAGTATTACTTTTGAATGTTTAATCAATTTCATTAGAATTATCAACATGAACAATATTCATTATCAGTGAGTCTATTCCTTGTAAATGTAGAAAACATCAAAATGAAAAGTATAGAAGATTTATCAAAAGGAATTGATTATTAACACCATAATGGTTGTTTTCATTGAAATTTAAAACCATCAAAAGTCATTATAGTGTTAATTAATTATAGTTATGAGAAGTTAAGAGTATTTTTAATAGACAATCTTAGCAATTCCAAGTTACCAATTATCTTTTTATTCCACCAAAAATATATAGCCAAAACAATACATACCATTTTTAGCATCTCTTCATAAGCAAGACTAATGTTAGTTGTTTGAGTTGGAAATCTTTTGGGTTTCTCTTCAAGGGTGATTAGATAGAATAGAGAAACTTTTTGCAGTTGATACAATACCTCTTATGATAAATTATCCAAAGTATCATACAAAACTCATGGAAATGATGTGAAACCTTAACCCTGAAAATCGTCCAATTTCTTCACAGATAGTATAAACTACAGAAAATATTAGAATCGCATTAAAACAAGAAGTCAGTGAAGAGGAGATTCTATTTTATTTGGAACGAGAGTTGGAGCAGTAATAGTTCTTCGTGTAAAATATTCCAGTTGAAGACATTCTTCAGCAGAAAGTCTTTTATGAGGGTCAGCAACAATCATATTTTCTAAAAGGTCTCTAATCTCTTGTGAGAGTTTAAGGTATTTATCATCTTTATTAAAGTCAGCATTTAAAATTAACTTTATTCTTTTATATCCTAATGCCTTATCACTTTCATTTAACGTTCCATCAAATGGTGATCTTCTTAATATCATTTCATAAAACATAATGCCACATGCCCAAATATCAGATTTTGATGCATCATAACTGAGTTTACGTTTAAGACTTTCTTCCATTTCTTGATGATTTTCATTATTAATTTTTTGTTTATAAATAACACGTTTATAAATTTCAGGTGAAACATATTGACGAGTGCCACATAATGTTTCAGCTTGGAAATCTTTTCCAACAATTCTTCCTAATCCAAAATCTGTTAATTTAGCTATTATTGATAATTCATGTTGTTCAATAAGAACATTTTCTAATTTAATATCACGATGAACAATAAAATTTTTATGAAGAAAGGAAATAGCTTCCAAAACATCTTTCATAATGCTTTTAAGTTGTGTATTTGTAAGTTGGTGTTTATAAAGATAATCAAGTAAACAACCTGTTTCAATTAATTCCATTACAATAAATGACCAATGTTCTGATTCCATCATATCAATTACTTCTACAATATTTGGATGTTTAATACTTTTTGTTATTTCAAATTCTCTTTCATTTTTTATCATTTGAACTTTATTTTTAATAGGAATAATTTTAAGTGCTCTTTTCTGTGATTTTTCATTTGTAGTTATTACTTGAAACACTTTTCCAAAACTACCACATCCTAACAATTTACCAAATTTATATTTATCAAATAATTGAGTTTTTGAATTAATTGTATTGAATGTTAATGTATCAATAAATAAAAATGAAATAGGTTCTATTATTGTATTTTCTTGTTGACAAACTTTAACAACATAAATAACATCAAATGAATTTATAACTGTTTCACTTTTTTTTTCTAATCTTTTATTTTCATCATTAAGAAATGTTCCATTTGAAGATGTGTCAGTTAATATAAAACATTGACTTTCGTTATTTTGTTGTCTTCTTGTGATTGTAAAATGATTACTACTTATAATATATTTTTCTTTGTCTATTCTCTCTCTCCCAATATTTTCTACTTCTTCTTTTAATAAAATATTAGGTGTTGTTGACTCAAGTCCAATAAGTATACCCCATGTCATATTACTCATTTCACTGTTTTTCTATTTGTAAATCTCTTAAATTATTTCTTTTTAATTTTCATTAAAACGATATAAGAATAATTATTTGTTTCAATGAAATAATTTTCTTATTGTTATTAAATAACAATAATAAGAGAAGTAGTTTTAATGAAAATAAAAAATCACAAAGATATGATAATTATTAATAAAAATCTGTCTAAATAATCTACTTCTATATGTAAATTAAGATTTGAATAAAAAAAGAAATAATAAAAATAGAACAAAGAAACGAAAATTGATTCTTTACAAAAGAAAAGTGGTTTAACAACATTTTTTATTCTCTTTAGAAGACTCAGTAGAGATAGAGACTTTTGAAGTAGATACTTCAAATTGAGATTGTTTTGGTAAATTTTCTGATTGGACAATTTTAGTCACAAGGTCTCTGAAAGCAGCTTCAACTTTAATATTTCTTTTGGCAGAAGTTTCAAAGAAATCAAAATTACCTTCATTGGAGAATTTTTGTCCTTCTTCTGTTGAGACTACCCTTAAGTCTTCATCAGCCAAATCAACTTTATTTCCAACTACAACAATTTTAACGCCTTGAGGACAATAATTTGATACATCATTTACCCAGTCTTGAAGATACTCAAAAGAGTCTCTATTTGATATATCATATACTACTAATGCACCATGAGTTTCTCTATAGTACTGAGCTGCTAATGAACGGTATTGTTCTTGTCCACAAGTATCTCTTAATGTCAAACTAACAACACAATTATCAAGTTCCATTTTATATGAAAAGATATCCATTCCATGTGTTGTTTCATAATGTTCATTAAAACAATTATTAACTAATTGATTTGCAAGACTTGTTTTACCAACTGTAGAAGCACCAACAATAACAACATTGATGCGAAGTTCTGGTTTATTCATCCAGTTTGAATTTTAGTTATTAGTTATTTTTAAGATTTAGTTTTCAAATTTCCTTTTTTAATTATTGTTTTTAAAAACAATTTCATTAACAAATTAAATTATTTAATCATCTTCTAACATTTGATAAGTCATAGGACCAGCTTTACGAGAAACTGGATTTAATATACCATAGTCAGCAAGTGGTTTAAGAATTGATGGAGAAACTCTACTAGAAGATTCTCTTTGAACAGGATATGATTCATAGTTTGTTTCTGTTTTAGAATAATCACTTTGTGACTCACTTCTTTTCAATACAATTTCAGAAATAATCTTTGGAGTTTCTTCTCTTAAGAAAATCTTTGATGAAGTATAAGGAAGTGCTGACTTTGATTTTTTATATTCTTTTTCATTAAAAGAATTAGGTTCTATTTGAGATTCCATAATAGAAAGGATAGTTCTAAAATCTTCTTCTAATTCATTTAGTTCAGCCTTTTCCTTTTCATTAATTTCTCCATTAAAAATACTTTCATCTAAACTTTCTGTAAATTCAGTGTATAATTCTCTAGCATTTTTTATTAATTGATCATAACCCTTTGGTTTTTTCTTTTTAGCTTCATATTCTTCTAGTATATCCCCTACTAACAATATATATTCTTCTACTGTTCTTGCAGTACTTTCTAATGATCCATTACTAATTTTAACTTCTGGGTTTATTGGAAGATGATCTTTACTCCAATGAGCAAATAATTCCATTTCTGGATAGATTCTCCATTGGTATGCAAATTCTTTGCATTTTTCTGAAAGAAATGAATTTTTTTTGGAAAAAATACTAAAATTCTATTTTTGTAAGTTTTTAATTTCAAGAAAAATAGAATAGACATTAAGAATTACAAACATTATATTGTGCTACTTGTCTGAAATTTTCAAATGTTTCTTTTGTAGCAAATCCTTTTCTAAAAGGTTCATAATTTGATATTATATGGTCTATAAGACATAACATAAAATACATTTCTTTTCTTGATATATAACTCTTTAAAAATTCAAGACAACGAAGATTAAATTGGCAAATCAATGAAGGAACTGCCTTTGGTATAGATTTAAGAACATGAAGTATTTGATTAAATCGATGCAAGCTTGGATTAACTTCTTCATTATCAATAGCACTTTTAACTAATTCACTTAATCTCATTGTTATAACTATTATTATTTGAGATTGCTTTTAAACATACCCAAAATGGAAAACCCTTGAAGTATAATATTCTTCTTATTTTAATCTTTATAGAAGTTTGGCATAAACCTTTTGATGCTAAAGATTACTTTGACTTCAGAAAAGTTTTTTTGGTTTCGTTTTATTATATAGTTGAAAAATGATATGTTTTATTTTTCTTCTAAACCGCTCATATTTCTGTTATTTTATTCCTGAATAGAGTTTTTGTCCAGTACACTTAAAGATAAGACACAACTGTGACTTTTAGCCATCTCAAGTAAACTATTTATAGTTGTGTAAAGGTCTTTATTAGATTTATTTGAAGTAATTAAAAACTATTCGATTTTATTTATCAAAAAGAAGACAATTCCTTCTATCAATTTACCCATTCTCATAAAGTTCTTTGCTTGGCAGTTACTACTATTACTTCCAAATATTTTGAGAAAAGAAACTAAGAAAAGAAACTGATACTATTAACTAAATGATATTTCTCCTTCTTTTCATGACATTTAAGAAAATGAACTAATTAATCATTCAGAAGAAATATAAAAAGAAATCATTGAGGTTGAATAAAAATATTATCATCTTTCTAATAGAGGCCTTCTTCATTTAGCACTATTACTTGATACTATCATCTTCATGCTATTCAACAATATTTTTCAAATCTTTTAGAGTATTTTTTGTTAGTTTTATTTCTAAAAGTAGAAGAGTTTTTAATTATTAAAATCTTGAGTGTTTCTGTTTTTTAAAAGTAATAGTTTTGGTTAAACTCTTTCTTTTGTTTTTTGATAATTCTGTTTTATATTTTTTGATACAAAGAAGTTATTACAAAGTGAGTATAAAAATCTTATCAAAAAAAAAAAAACAAAAAAATAAAACAAAAAAATTTAATAAAATAAGAATAGTTCAAAACATAATTTTCCTTTAAATCAAAGTAATAGTTTTTTTTTTGAAAAAAGAAAGAAAAAGAAGATCAAGAAAAAACTTATTTTAGAAAGGAGAAATAATCATCATATTAAAAAGAAATTACAGAGAAGTATTTAACAATTCAAAAGTATTCTACAGCAAGACTTTTACATTCTCCAAAACAATTCTTTCCTATTTTAATTTTTTCAGAACATCTTATTTTCTTTAGTTGTTTGCATTGATAAAAACAATAATCACCAATTTTTTTTACTGTAGATGGCAATGAAACTATTTCAACATCACTTCCAAAAAAACTTCCTTTCGACAATTCTGTAACACCATTAGGAACTTTATTTTGATGAAGTATTCTATCTTCTGTTGTAAAGATAACGGAGTCACATTGAACCCCTTTTTTCCATAATAATTCTGCAATACGTAGAGATACTTTTACAGTAAAATTTTTTGAGTCATTCCAATAAACTTCATTTAATACAACACATCCATCAAAAGATTTTTCACCAATAAAGAGTAAAGAAGAAGGAAGATTGATTGATTTTAATGATTTACAATTACTAAAACATTCTTCATAAAGGTATTGTAATTTTTCAGGTAAGACAATATGTTCTAAAGAATCACAAAATGAAAATGCATGATCTCCAATAGAAATTAAACTTTTTGGAAGTTCAATAGAAACTAAACTCTTACAATTTTCAAAAGAAGATTTTTGGATGGAAGTAATTCCTTCAGGAAGTTTAATGTGTTGAAGATTTCTACACCAAACAAAACAACTTTCACTAATAGAATCAATACTATTAGGTAATTCAATAGACTCTAACTCATAACAACACATAAAAACACCCATTCCTAATATTTGAAGAGAATTTCCATTAATTTGAATTTTGCGTAATTGAGTACATTTTGAAAAAGCTTTATTTCCAAGTTCTTTTACTGAAGTTGGTATTGTAATGTGTTGTATTGAAATAGAACTAAAACATCCATCACCAATTAAACTAACACCATCAGGAATATTATTTCCATATAATTCTCTATCACTTACTGTATATTCAATGTTTTTACATTTAATAATAAGTCTTGATATAAGTCTAGACAAATGATATGAAACTAATCCTTTAAATACCCTTCCTTTTACATTAACATTAACTATACCACTACATCCTAAAAAACATGCTTTTCCTATATTTTCTAATTGAGATGGTAAAGTAATAGATGATAATGAAGTACATCCTTTAAAACACTCTTTTCCAATAATTTTCACTGTTGAAGGGATATTAATTTGCTTTAATTTTTTGCATTCAGCAAATGAACGTTCTGATAATCTAATAACATTACATAAATTAATTGATGTCAATGCATCACATTTTTCAAAAGCACTAATCCCTATTGAAATTAATGTTGGAGGTAAATCAATTGATTCAACTGTATTAGCATATAACCCTTGATCATTGATATGAGTAATACCATACCCAATAGTTACAGGACGGGATGTAGGTGAAGAATAACTGATAAATCTAAAGTCACAATTATCTTCTCTATGTTTTAAATAAAATGAATAATCTACTTTATATCGATATACATGATGTAATTTTGGATATAACTTATCATTAATATAATATAAATGTTGTTCTTCTATTGTTTTAAATAATTTTATTTTACTTATAGGATTAAACCTATATCCGTCAACAAAGTCTTTATAAATTTTACTAACCATCATCACCCTAATAAAATCTACTTCATCATTAAAATAAACACCTATTCTTCTCATTTCACTTGCACCAAGATGTCCTTTTTTTGTTACTTCTATTTTTTGAACTGGAATCATTTCAATCATAGATTCCGTTTTAGTTGAAAATCCAGAAAATGTTGATGTGGAATCTGTTGATTCTTCGTTCATTTATTTTTTAAGTTTCATTTAATAAAAACTTTTTATTTTAATACAATTCTTTCAAATTACTTTTTATGTTGTATTTAGGTGGGGTATAAAAAATGTTTTTTATTTATTCTTTTTTTTTCACTCTCTATTCTTCTTTAAAATATCTTTGATATTATTTTGTCTCATCATCTTCATTTTCTAAAGTATACTTTCACATAAATCAATTGGTGTTTTCTACTGTTGGTAATGTTTATTAATAAACATAAATCCCTTTTGTTCAATTACACAGTTCAATAGTTAAAAAACACAAAAAAAATAATTCTGTTATCAAAACTCATAAAAACTTATATTATTCCATATAATCAACGTCTAATTTCGGGATTTTTCTCTGAATTGTACCTATTAATCTATTTTTAGGGTTTCTATTAAAAAGAGAAACTTAAAAAAGCATGTCACAAGAAAAGAAGGTCAAATCCTCAATCATTTTTGACATAGAAAAAGAGTTTCAGATAGGAACTTTAGAATCAAAGATTGGAATAACAAGAAAAGAAAATGAAGAAAATAGTCTTGGGATTAGTCAAACAACTCCAAAAAAAATAAAACAACCAAAATCTCTTGTTGAGGAAAGTCATGTCGAGAAGAAAAAAACTAACAAATCAACAGAAGAAAAAGAACAAAATCCAGACCAAGAAATTCAAAGTCAAACTGAAAAAAAAGAGTCAAATTTAAGTACAAACCAAGAAATTATTGAAGATAAAACTAGTGAAATTAAAGATAAAACTAATGAAATTATTGAAGATAAACCTAATGAAATTAAAGATACTAAAGAAGCTTTTTCAAATACAATTACTTCATCTCAAAAAGAAGGGACAACCGAAATAAATGTACAAGAAACTCCAAAGACAGCAGAAGAGAATTTAGAGAAAAATAATGATATAAACACTTCGCATATTGTTGATAATGTTGATATTCAAAAAACTACTAATGAAAGTCAAAGTTCAAATCAAAACCAAGTTAATCTTGTTGAAGAATCTAAACAACAAATAAAAGAAGTTGAGGCATTACCACAAGAACATACAACAACAAACAAAGAATTAGAGATTAGTGATATTACTTCTAATGAAACAAATAAAAATGAGAAGGTTGAAAATATTGAAGAAGAAAAGAATAGCATTATTTTAACCCATGAAAATGATTTGATTGACAAAAAAGAGTCAAGTACTATTTCAAAAACCTTTTCAGCTCAAGAACAAATTAAAGCATCTCAATGTAGGGAATCTCTTATTCATACTGAACGGTTGATGGCTACTGTAAAAGATAATATACATCAAGCAGAAGAAAAAGTTGTTTCAACAGTAAAGTATAATAAAATTGAGACACCAAGGAAAAGAGCATCTGTCAGTAGAATTACGTTATTAGACGATCCAATAAAACATCAAAAAACAGAATTTAATGGAATTAAAGAAGACATCATTCCTCATAAGAAAGAAAGTGTTACAAGAATTAGTGATGGAAGCAGGTTTTCAGTCAAAAAATTAAGTTTTGACGAAAACGAACAAGAAGAAGAAGAAATGGACAAAGAGGATTTACAGCAAATCACTTCACCTATAAAAGAAGTAACTCAAATGGAAGAAATTCCCATTGAAACTCAAACACCAAACCACAATAAGAATGAAGAAATATCAGGAATATCAAGTATCTCGAGGTTATCTGATAAAATGAGAGAAGAAACAAAACCATCTAAAAGTTTGATGTTAAACAAAAGTCGTTGTTCTGAGTTTAAAAGAAAATTGTCTTTAGTTGGTAAAAAAATTGGAGAAGAAACAGAGTGCCAAATTAAAAAGCCCGTTCCTGCTACTTCCATTAATTTATTTAATTCAAGTATTTTACAACCAAGAGGAACAAGAACAAAAACATTACCTTGTTTAAATTCTAATGGAAGGTTATGTTCATTAGAAACAGATATGGAAAAAGACGAGCAGTCTGCATATTCTTTATTGCAAAATACACATATAAATCTTAACCAAGACATGGAGGAAGATGAAATTGAAAGTGAAATGCGATCAATACAACTAAATATGAGATTGTCAAATTATAGAAATAGCAATATTTAAATGACATCACAGTTACCTTGAATTATATTTAATCCCTACAAACAAATGAACAATAAAATACATGGTATAAAGGAAGAAGTTAATTTATTTTTTTGTTTGATTTTTTATAAATAATCTTAGTTTAAAATTAGAATTTAATTTTAATAATAATAGTAATCTACTATAGAAATATTAGAAAATAAAACAGTAGAACAAGAAGTGATTAATTTTAACATTAGTATGAATGAAAATAGGTATTACCTTGATGGTTATAAAAAATAAATCATTGGAGAAACTGTCTTATCATAGGTATTATTGTTTATTTTCTTATCACAATAATATTATTTCATTTATCATAAAATCATTATAGTATTATTGATTATTTTACTTTGTTTTCAACAATTATTTTGGTTAAAATAATCTGACAGAGTTATAAACCAACAATACAAATATATTAAACAAAAGATAGAAAAATACAACAATACAAATTAAGAAAAAGATATAATCACCACAAATAAATAAAAAATAAATACTAGATAAAAAGTATCATTGATAATTAGACTTTATTTCAGTAGGTATACGAAAAAAAAAAATAAAAATGAATTAGAATTAAGAAACATAAAAGAATAAAGAATAAAATTAATGCAATATTCATTTTTATTTCATACAAAGTTTATATTTATTATTATTTGAAATTACATTTATTATCATATCGTTTAATTATTGTATTAATTTTTCTATATTTATTAATATTTTATTTAAATTAAATTTTATATCATAACCAGTTTTATATTTTTATTCTAGAATCTATTTTATATTATAGATTAAATATGAAATTATTTATTTACTTTCAGGTTGATTAGTAGTATATCTTCTGCATTTTGTATTACGTTTTTATATTTTTTTTTTAGCTTTGTTTATAGTTTTATTTGTTTATTTTATGTGTATTATTGTCTCTGAATTTCATTGTTTTTATGTTATTTATTTTCATGTTAATTGTTATTTCATTTCTTATAATTTCTGTCTTTTATTTATTGTTGTGTTCATTTTAAAATCGATCTTTCGATGCATACAACATCACAAATTAAGCAAAGTTATAATGACTAATATGAATATAAGAATCAGATAAAGAAGTATAAAACAATGAAAAATGAAATAAAAGAATAGAAGTTATATGAACAATTGAAATAGAACAAGGAGATAATGTAGAGATAAAAGAGTCTGAAAATATACAAAAATAAAAGAATAAAGGAGATAATGAATGGATAGAAGAAGAATAGAAGAAAGAAAATAATAATCAAAAATGAATGAAGTATAATTATAAAGATGTGTATAAATATTTCAAACATTTTCATAATAAAACAATGATAAGTAATGATAGAAGAAAATAAAAAGAAGGAAAAATAGAAAATGGTACAAAAATGAAATAATGAAAATTAAAGAAAAAAGAAGAAAAGAAACAAGAAAGAATGAAGAAAATAGAAGAGCAAAACAACAAAATAAGAATAAAAGTAGAAAGAAACAAAGGAACAGAAAGTATAAAAGAAATAATAGAATAAAAGAAATCAAAGAAGTAATAGAAGAGAATGCAAAATGATACAAATAAGAATTGACAATGAAGAAATAAATAAGAAACATAGAATAATAAACAAAAGAAGATATATAAAAGAAAATAAGTATGATACTACAAAATAAATCATGAGAAATAAATAAAGAAGAGAAATATTATAATGATGAGAATGTAATAAATATAAATAAAATTGTGGTACAAGAAGATGTTCAAGAAGAAATAGAAGAAATACCAAAAAGTAATATAAATGTAACAAAATGAAAAACAACATGAATATTTATGATTGAATGATAATATTTAAAATATTTCAACATAAATAGAAATGACAATAAACTAATAAAAATAAAACAATTGAAGATATGAAGAATAGTGTATAACTAATCTGTATTAATAATGAAAAGAAAAATCAAATAAAAGTATAGACAAACAAGTTGTTTAAAGATATAATATATGAAATATACACAAATGTACATCAAAAGAAAGAATGTAGATATAATAATAAAATGAAATATGAGAGTTGTGTAGATGAAATAAGTAATAACAAATGAAGCATTAATTAGAAATAATGACACACAAAAGAAAATGAAGAATAATAAAGAAAGAAAAGTGAGACATATCATTAAATAATAAGATATACGAAAGTGATAAACACAAAATGATGAAGTAATGAAATAAAGAATGTCAACTGAATTAAAAATAACAAAAGATATAATAATAGAATAACACAAAACAACTACAAAACAAATATAACAAGTGAAAAAAACAACTCAAAAAAGATAATAGAATGAGACACGAATCAAATATTAATTGTATTAATAATAGAACAAATAAATCATTAAATAGATGAATATATAAAATGGATAATATAACATAAAGAAGAAACATAAATAAATGAGATGAATATAATAAAATAAAGAAGTATATTCAAGTATTTCATTAAAATAAAAATGGAGTTGATATTCATTGAATATAAAATAACAAAAATATAATGAATAAATATCCATTAATTACAAAAATAAATACAAATATTTATTAATGAAAATATAATACAAATAAAGAAAAAGGAGAAATAATAAATGAAAAAGAGAGTTGAATGAAAATAAGAAAAATAGAAAGTGTGAAACAACAATCAAATGTATAAATACACAAATAATGTCATAAATAAGATAAAATAATCGAGTTATCATATTTTTAATTCAATAATTAAATAAAATCGAATGATAAATAGAAATTTCAATTGAAAATGAAATTATAAAGAGATAATAAAGTTCACAACTATTCTATTTAAATGATAAATAACTATGAAATAAATTAGTGTCATTAAGAAATATTCATCTCAATACATTATTCACATTACA